CCCCTCCGACAGTAAAAATCAAAATTTTTTTGTTCAATTTGGCACTGTGCCTGAAAATTCCGGAATTTTTCGTTGAAGTTTTTGATCAGAAACTTTTCTTTTTTGTAAGGAAACGCACCTTCAACTTGGTTTTGTCCTGACTGCTTGAGTTTACTGTGTTTGAATGCTTTAAATTGGCAATTCTGACAGTTTTTGGACATATTTCTCTGCATCTGCGTTTTTTATTTATTGTTTTTCGACCGAATTTGTTGAAATAAATGATTCTTTGTACAATTCTTCGCTGGTTTCCGCACGCCTAACGAATGATCGGTTGCAGTGCTTTGCAAATTTCCCAATATTTCCTTTGCGTGGGATTAAAACATATGCGACACTGCTATGGGATACCAGCACTCACTATCGGGGCATTAAATTTGGTATGTAACGGAATCCAAACTTGGCTAAAAGCAATTGTGAAGCGGTAGGAGCTGTCAAAAGTCGGTTCTGTTCTGGTAGCGCGGGTCGAGTTGTATCAGTTAATCACCGAAATTAATGTTTTTGCGATTATAAAGTTAGTGTTTTGAAGTGGTCGGATGTTCGCGCATTCACGGGTTTTGCCGACGTTCTATCGGAATTGCTCAAGGCGTTGCATTGCTTCCAAGCAGTTAGTATATGACAGCCATGGAGATCCAGAAAAGGTCGTTTTTGATATCTTCGATCTTTTCAGCGCAACCAAACCTTTAAAATCATTAACACAGTTGTCAGTTTTGTGCAAGTGATAAGACAGAAGTTACTTCAGTCCCTAGCCACTCTGGGCTTACTGCTTTTGCTGGCGATTGCATATAAAAACAGATCCAGCATTTTTCGTATATACGAGAACTGCCAAAAATCGGTGGGGCAATGTGCGGTTCAGTGTTAGTGATTTTTGATGAGGATTTCCTGGACACTGGGCACAGCTACGCTGAACCGCTCCATCCTGAACTGCTTACCACTAGTTGGTACTGACTGTCTGTTCGATTTATGTGTGCCAGTATCCTTTTTCGCTAATATAATATCTCTTACTGAGCATAAGCTCACGCCAAGGCAAGCAAAATTTCCTTCTCATCGAATCTTATTTTCATTTGTAGTCCCACTGGTACCTGCTTTACTAGTGGCTTATACGGTCTGGAAGAAGTGCTTCAAGTATTCTCTTCCTATTGCACAAACAACGTTAGCTCTTCAGCTTTTGTCAGTGACCACGTTTCGCCCGCACTGGCCATTGCCTTTCGTGCATAGTCTTGGTCATGTAGTTCCTGTTCATGCGCACTTAATTTCCATGAAATTTAACGGCATCTTTTCAAAATAGGTGCTGCATTTGTGTGAGGCAGAGATCAGCTCAAAGCTGGGTGCCGGCGAAGTGCGTGTTCGTATTCTCGCGTCGCCCATCAATCCGGCTGATATCAATCAAATACAGGGTGTTTATCCAGTGAAGCCGCCACTTCCTGCTATTGGTGGTAACGAAATGGTCGCCAAAATTGAGGAAGTTAGTTGCCATTCTTTGCCGATCTCTGGGTTTATCGTTGTGTTCGTTAGCGCCGTCAGCACAGCAGACATTTTCTCTTTATTTTTAGGTTATCATATTTGCAATACTGCTAAGTGCGCTGGAAATGTTTCACAATTTTTGCTAGATAGTTTAAGAGTCTTGTTGGTTAGCAGTTGGCAGGGGTCCGAACTCATCGATTTGTTTTTAAGAAGGAACCGGCGATGGCTTAAAAAAGAAATATCGGATGGTTACTGTTGCCACGTGCCAATACCCGGGCTACTTTCATGTGCCTTTGCCTTTCACGGAGAGGGGAAGGGAAGTTAACTTTTGATTTTAACCGCCAGGGACGCAATAACACCGCTACGCGAGGGTATCGGTAAATGTTGAAGCTTTTAACTTAAAATTTCTGTGGACAGTGGTTAGAATACTCTTACTTACATTTGTCGAGCATCTCTAGTAACTTTTTGACAGTGAATTAGTTCCAGAGCGTTGCGTCTTCACCTTTTCAGTTTCAGAATGTCTGATGTTTGCTTATTTACCGCGAAAGGAGAGGCCTTCAAAATCACTGAATTTGTAGATAATTCTGCCATAAGAGCAGCGATAGAGGCATGCATTCCAAAGGAAAAAGTGGTGCAAAAGACAGCCAAAAAGTGAAATGAAAAATTAGCTTGTGAATATTAAAACTAACTGGCTCCATATTAAAAAGCAAATGAACGGATTCAG